TAGTGTTCGAGAAGGGTTGTGAATTGGTGAGTGAAGGCAAGGATTGGACAGAGCATATCTAGTATGGATATTCGGTCGCGGTTGTGAAAATGGTGGAAGGGGACAACTTAAAATTCCGCCGACAGTGTTTCGCGATAGGCTGGCAAATGGTGGGCAAAGGAGACCATTGGCAAAACACTTATAGACGAAAACCCAGTGGGTAATAGTTGCAATAGAGGAACCAATGAACAATAGCTTAAAACCTAATAGCCAATAATCGTTATGAGAAACTGATAGACCAATAATTACACATGTTTGCACCCTTAGGTCTTATCCATTTGCGGCTAGTAGTCGTGTATTTTTGGCTTGTTTTACGATGGGTTGTGCTACTTTGTCATATTTCAGGTCCCAGACGTCGAAGGAAAGGCTAAGCACGAGATTCGGGGCGTTTGGAGGTCATTCGGTCGAGCTGGAGGCAAAACACGGGCAGGAGGCCTGAAGAACACGACCGTGTACACAAATAGGCACGCCAGTGTTTTTATGTGTGAGAGCTGAACTGATGGAAAAGCAAAACACGTCCTGGCCTAAAGAAAAACACGGTCGTGTCCATATTTAGGCACGACCGTGTTTTGGCCGATGCGGGCGTGTTTTTAACACGGGGCAAAACACGGGCGGGCAAAAGTAAAACACGGCCGTGTCCTCGACCGTGTTTTGTCTAGAATCGGGTTTTTGAGGCAGATTGAAGCCAAAGGAAAGGGAGAGCTGGGGTTTGGATCCCAAACACCCAAGGGACGAACCAAAGAGAGAGAGGGCGATTTGAGGGCATTCTAAGAGTGGAATTGGAGGATTTCTTTGCCTTGGAAGCTCGAGGAACAAGCCCGGACTTGAAGACTAATCATCTGAAGACTCTTACTGCAGTCTCTCTCTTCTCTATGGAGTAACTTCCCTTCACTTAGGTTTTGAGGAACCCTAGCCATGTTTGTTTGATTGGATGATTGTATGAGTACTCCTACTTGATAATCTTGAGTTCATATTCAATCTATGCATGTTTTCATGATTCAATTCTGCTTTAGTCGAGATTGTTGATTCTGCTTTGATCTTATGAGAGCGAATACCTGATTAGGTCAATAGAGCACTATAGATTGATAGTAGTGGATAGATTGAATTATTCGAGGGTTGATTCACTGCTTTGTATTGATTGAGAACCTTTTCCGATAGAGGGAGTCTAGTTCAGAACGCCTTGATCGGTTGTTCTAGAGAAGGATACGTCCCTCTAGGCAATTGACTCAAGAGGGCCTTGTTCCTATAGTCGAGACTCAAGGTCTAGTCAAGGATTCTCCACATTGTGAATGAAAGTGAAACAAGTTAGAAATCATCAATCATTAATCTGGCTAGTGGCTAGGGGAATCATACCTAAGTGAGTTCCCATCCTGTAATTAGATTAACTTTAACTGTAGTTTGCTAGAGTAGTTTTAGTTCTTTCATCTTAATTTGGTTTTCTAGATAATGAACTGAAGCTGAGTAATAGTAACTCTAGAGACCCGTGGATTCGATATTTATTACTTGAGCCACTATACTGCAGTTCCTTTCATTGGTTACACTTGGTCTTTGTTAGGAGTTGTTTCATAGCGAGTCAGAAACACAATGGATAATAGATACAAACCCAATGAACAATAGCTAAACACAAAAGTTGTAGAATGAGAGAGGGATAAAAGAAGAAACTTGGAAGTTCCCCACTTGTAAGGAGTAGTATGAGAGCCACTAATTAATAGTAACTTACAACATTGGCTTTTATATATTAAATTAGTATATATTAATTAATAATGAACGTGTTCATTAAAACTGCATGTACAAGATTAGAAATACTATTGGTCTTTTTTCTCAATCAAATGGCGAAATTTATTTGGTTCCTATCAATGTTGTTAAAACCTAACTGGACATCGATCCGGACTAGTGAGAGGTTCAAGGTTTATTGGCTAACCGCGAATAACCGGTATTACAATTTGTCAAGCCTGCCGATATATTGGAACCGATGGAAGCATTCAGTGTTTAGTGGCATGTCATTTCCCAAGAAAGGAAAGCAGAAACAGTTTCCCCAAATACATTAATTGAAAGGTTTTTTTAGGAAGTATTAATTGAAAGGTTGCAACTTAGAGCATCCCGAACAGTGGGAATGGGTTGGATTGCAATCCTAGGTGGTATTGGAATGAAAGTGTAGATATGGGTGACATTGTTTTGGAGACGTTTTCATCATGTGCAAATTTGCACACCATGCAAGTGGTGATGCAATTGAAAGCTGGCCCACTTTTTGTACTTTTTTTTTCTTTCCTTCTTTCTTTTCTTTTTCTTTTTCCTTCTTTCTAGTTTCTGCAACCAAAAGTTGCATATTTCATTTGTCTTTTCTATTTGTTTTGCATTTATCTTGTTCCATTCATTTCTATCATACATATATGTAATTATACATTTAGTTCATGGTTAATATGGTTAATAATATGATTAAAACTTCAAGATTCACATATATTTCAAGATAATACATCCATACAGTACAAATCGAAAAGAAAAATACACTACACACATCAAGACAACTATTACATGATTAATTAAAATTAAAACAGATACAAAGCATTAAACATTTTAATTTAAATCAAATTGAAAACACAGAAAGGAAAAAATACAATCCAACGAAAGTACAATGCGGAATTATTTATCACCTAGTGGCTCATTCATTTGAATCTCATATAGCTTTCTTTGAGTTTCTGTCATTGTTATTGGATCCATAGCTAACAATTTGACAATTTCCTCATTGCTTCTACCTTTTCCATTTCAATCTCGGTCTTGTTAATTTAATTATCTGAATCTTTTCAATTTAAACTCAAAGTTAAATTATGTTTATTGATATTAATTAATAATATAATAATTTACTAATTTTAGTTGAAAAGGCATTAAAATATTTTAGTAAAATGATGTAAGTAATATGAATATAGAATTGTAGAAAAATTAAGTAGGACCCATGATGCAATTGCATGTGAATGACATTGATGTATATGGTATGAAAGTGATGAGTGAGGTAGTTGTTAAAGTTGTTGAAGTGACAGTAGGGACCACACTTGAAATTGCATAAGAATTGCATTATTGAGGATGGTCTTAGGTAACCCAGTTCGTCACTTTTGCCTCGGCGCTCCCGCTTTGAAGCGTGAAAGCGCGAATTATAACAAAGCCGACTAAAATTCGCGAATTTCTTTTATTTGGAGCGCGAATTTTATATGGATGGAACGCGATTTTGCGTGGACTCTTCAATTCGCCTACACAAGCATGATGATTGACTCCCCAAATGGCCTCCGACCGCAGCTATCGGCATACAACATCTGTTCCTCATTGCTTCACTCGTTTTGCTCCTAGTAGTCGCCGACCAGGATGTATCAGCCGACACGGGGATTGCAATTGGTTAATGCCATCAACACCCATAAAAAATTAGATCCGTCCTTGAACTTCTCAATGGTCTATGACTAGTTGGCGACTGCTTGTGACTGTGAATTCCTTAAGTAGAGACATTAGCTGTCAATGATGGGTTATCGGGTGGTGAGGATGCGGGTACTGGGTATGGAAAGAGAGGACTTTAAAGATAAAGAATGGGGTAGTCGGAGTTATGGAGTAGTCGATCGGTGATGAACGGTGGGAACCGTGGGATAGAGGGGTAGTCTCGGCGGGGTTTGGCCGAGTCGGAGAAGAGAGAAATAGAAAACGGCAGGGGGGAATTGGCTTCTGTGAAGAGGAGGATGGGGACGGAGATATGGCCAAAGAAAGTGAGAATGAAGATAGGTGATAATCCCAAAGTGATAAATTAATTTTTTTTAAATTTTTTATATCTTTCTTTTTAACTTATTGTTAATCCTTATCTCTTTCAATATAATATCAAAATGCTATCTAATCCCCATAAGCATAACTATTTATAGTTCAATCATCCATATTTATATATGGATTCAAATAATAGTCATTTTATTGAATTCTTTATTAAAGCACGGTTGCGAGCCACGATCAGGAGCAAGACTGCCGGATATGAAGAAAGAGATATATAATTGTTACTAAATTTTTATTTTCTGTTTTTTTTTACAATTATATTTCACCAAATTTATCCTAATTATTCATTATATATAAAATCTCTGTTGTAAATAATAATATAATATCGACGCTCTTTTCGCGCTCTCAATGTTGAGTTCTTCAAAATTAGACACTCTCCCGCTCTCGCTCCCGCTCCCGCTTCACGAACTGGTTACCTAAGTTGCAACGCCAAAAGGCGTGGGTGGGTGTTTGTAAAGCATTTAATTATTAAAAATCTATCAAATTGGAGCATTTTGGGAAACTCAAAACCTCTCATAAAAGCTCACGCATTGCTGGATTCATTATTTTTAAATTTAAATTTGGAAAGTCAAAAGCTTAAAAAGTTAAAGTTTAAACTTTAAACCGTCTGTTCGGTTTCACCGGGGTTGCCGGTTAACCGGGCGAACTGGACATAACCCGGCCGAACAGCTTTCTTGCCATTTCAAACCCTTCGGAGCCGGATTGTTGCTTGGATCCAGTTTTACCGGTCTAACCGGCCGATCCGGCCCGATTTTGATTACACTGGTTCCTATTCCTACTAATACAGTGTGAGAGATATACATGAATATATGTTACACTAGCATTTACAGAGAAGAATAACAATTTAACATAATAAAAACAAATTAAAGAGCTTTCTTCATTCTCCCCTGTAAATCCTCAATCCCTGCCATCGTCTCTGTAAGCCTCTCATCCAGAACCAGAACAAGCTCTGCATCAAACTCCTTCCTCAACTGATCAAGCTTTGGATCAAACTACTGTCGTTGTCCCTATCATTTTACATGGTGAAAAGAATTGCATAAAATCTCTAGTAAATTCCATTTACAGTTCATTATCAACAAACTAAGGAAGCTCAAATCTGTCCTTCCAAAATTCAAACACCTAGATAAATGGGAGACTCCAAAGAAGATAGGGATACCTACAAATTAAGGAGACAAATGCTGACGCTTGGACAAGTCCACTTTGAACTCCTCAAAGTCAATTCGATTCACCCTGCAAAATTTTCCAATCCAAAACCCGTAAACCAATTCTAGAAACCCAAAATCATACTCATTACCGAATTCTATAAACCCACTAGCCTGATCCCTCTCCTCGCCATGGCCGCCAACGTCGTAATTGAAGAAGTAACAGGGGCAAGGGTGCAGTTGGAGGAATGGGGACGAAGTGGCAAAATTCGCTCGGCTGCACATCTGGAGAGGGTAGGAAGTTCTTCGAGGATCGACAATGAAGGGCTGCAATATGCCTGTCGGTTCGGGTCGGGTAACCAAACCCGAAAACCGCAAAAAACCGAGAAACCGAAACCGAACCCCCCAACGCGAAACCGAAAAATACAGGAACCCGAAAAATACACTGCGGTTTTGGTTCGGTTCGGGCGAACCCGAAACCGAACCGATTTGAATTTTTTTTTAAATACTTTTGTGATTTGAATTTTATATTCTTTTGCTTGTACAAACAATTTTATTCTTATTATTTGTACATTCTTATTTAACCGTTATGTTTAATTTTATGGGACGTGGACATTATAAAACTAATATTTATATATTAGTTAATTATTAAAATATTTAATTTTATGTTAAGTAATACAACCTTTTGGGCATAATCATATCTTATTTTGCTATGTTAAGTAATAGAACCTTTTGGGCCTTTTAATTGTGGATTTTCATATAATTAAATGTTTTAGTAATACCATAGGTCCAAAATTGAAGGTATATCAACTATTATATGGAAAAAAAATGTTTGGTGTTTGGCGCAAAATTATAAATAATTAAGTTCAACATAAAATACCAACAATCATAGATGAGATTATCTTCAACTCGTAATTAAACGCATTAGTTTTACAATTCTCAAATGATAACATCCAAGTAAAATAAAAATTCATCCACCATACAAGATAAACACTACTATCATTATCACTCCTCATTAGGCTCTACATCTACATAAGTCTCATTATTCTCATTAGAATTGTCATCGACATAGTCTTCTTCCACTTGTGACATAGTAGGACTCGAGACCAAAATATGGGTAGCAGGAGAGCTTCCACTAGGTTCTGCACGAGAGCTTCCACTAGGTCTTGCAAGTGCACTTGAACTCCGAGCTTGAAAAGCTGCATATACTGGATAACATAAACAATAACAACTTGTTAGAATATGACTTGATCAAGATAACAAATATAAGAATAAAGAGAAAGATTAAGTCCGTACCATTTTGAAATACCACTTCATCACCCTCATCTTCTCCATCAGCCACCAACTCGGAGTCTGAAGATCTTATCCAATCTTCACAACAAATCAAAGCCTCCACAACTTCAGGGGATAAGGAGGTCCTAAACGAATCTAAAACTCGACCTCCTGTGCTGAATGTCGACTCAGAAGCAACAGTGGAAATAGGAACAGCAAGAATATCCCTAGCCATCTCAGAAATAGTTGGATATTTCATCCCACTTTGCGACCACCATCCCAAGATGTCAAACTTGTATTCATCCTCTTCTGAACCCACCAATGCTCGTGTAACCACTTCATCATCCTCCTTCTCCTCAAGGTACCTATCAAACTCAGATTTTGAACTTTTTCTGGTTCCTTTCAGAATGGCATCTCTTTTCATTTTCCTGAAATCACCCCAAATCTTCCCTTTCTTTTTCCCATCCCCACTTCCACTAGGTTCTTGCTCATCTTCCTGAATCACAATGGGAGAACTGCCATGAATTCCGAGTTTATGCTTGTAATGGTCAAATAGAAGACGCATTTCATCTTTCACCTCTTCGACCAAAGCTTTACCCCTGCTCTCACCATATACCTTTTTTAAAGCTTGTTCAAGATATTCAACTTTCCGCCTAGGATCTAATATGACTGCCATATAACACAACCGATTCATCTTGGAATTATCCAACTCATCTTCAAACCAATACTTGGCAAGTTTGGACTTGATTCTCTCAGCCATGCAAGACACCTCAAAATCTATACCATCAGCCCACTCAGATATCATAGTATACATTTCACATACCTCATCAAACAAGAGGTGTAAAGTCACATATGAAGTCCCAGAAACTCGACCAGTCAAATCATAGAATAGCTTCAGGTAATCAATCAACCGTCCCACACTAGACCAATCATCAGAAGTTGTGATACCAAGGCTTTCATTTCCATATTTTTTTCATTGAGATGTTTCATGAATTTCTTATCATTTCTAGCTAATGTCTGAAATGCTTTCTCAAATGGCTTTGCAGATTCCAGCATCAGATACGTTGAGTTCCACCTTGTAGCTACATCCAACGAAACAAATTTCTTCGACACTATCTTTTCAAACTCAATGCAATCTTTAAATTTTCTACTCCTAGCTGGTGTAGATTTAACCCACTTCACAGACTCTCTCACTCGCTCCACAGATTTACCAGTTTCTTTAAGCCCATCCTTCACAGCCAAATTAATAATGTGAGCCACACACCTCATCTACAGATATTTTCCATCCAAAATATCTGATCCCCACTCTTTCAACTGTTCCTTCATATGGATAGCAACCACATCATTGACACTAGCATTGTTCATTATTATACAAAACACCTTCCTAATGCCCCACTCCACCAAACAACTAGCCAACTGTTTTCCAATTTCACTTCCAGAATGTTTTGTAACTTGGACAAAGTTAATAATTCTTTTATGCAATTTCCAATCTCTACCAATGAAATGAGCAGTAATGCACATATAATTGAGATTGGACAAAGAAGTCCAAGTAGCAGTGGTGAGCGATACCATCCCTAAACACTTAGTCTTGAAATAGTCCTTCCGCAACTCTCTATTTTCGAAGAACACCTTGATACAATCCTCTCTAGCGGTCTGACGGCTAGGTAACACAAACATTGGACAAACACGAGCCATAAACCGTTTGAACCCTTCATGTTCAACATACCTAAATGGTAATTCATCTATGATAATCATCTCCGCTAAAGCTCTCCTAGCATCAATCTGATCTAATTTCCAAGTGCCAAGAGTGTGTACCTGGCCTCCAGAAGATGATAGATGGTCGACTCTCAGCTCACCCTTTTCTATCTTTTCCAAACAACTATCTTTATGATTCCGCAGAGTAGAAGTCCCATATTTAGTGGGAGCCATAAGAACACCATTGCAATAAATGCATCTTGCTTTCTCCACTCCATCCTTCTTAAAACGCTTGAAGTGTGGCCAAACGTCAGACTTTTCTTTCCTTTTTCTTGAAATTGTCTCCTCGTCTATTGTTTGAGCAGGAGGTACATTGGTGGTACCGGTAGACGGTGCAGGAGTAGGATCGGAAGACGGTGCAGGAGTAGGAATTCTGGTACCCTTAGAGCGTCCTCCACGTTTAGGACGAGAAGCCGATGGTGCCTCACTCTCCCTGCCAAAATAAAACACGTGAGTTTAGAAGAACATAGTAGGATGGAATGTCTAATGGAATTTAGCATAAAACTTAACAGACTGGTGCGCGCCATAGAGAAAATGAAAAGAGTAAAAATTATAACTCTAGAAGAACATAGTAGGATGGAGAACTGCAAGGCATCAAAGGACTTCTAATTTATCTTGCTTAATTATCAATCCTGAAATATCGAGCAAATAGGCCAATTACAACGCTCTAGTACAGGGCATCAATACTAAGGACATAACCAGATTCATGGGCAACCATTGAAGAACTTGAACATTCTAATCACATGTCAATGCATATCAACAGCCAAGCACAAAACCATTTGAAATTCGACTGGAACTAGTACAACTCAAGCAATCCAGCATTGAAAATACAACAAAATATGACTGTCGAATTCAATTGATCTAGCATGAAAACTACAACCAGAAATTCACACGCTCACCAAAATCCTTGTCTAAATCCTTACGCTCACCAAAACCAGATTGTGGAGAAATCTGGTGGCGTGGGAAATTATGTTGCGGCTGTCTTGCTAGTTAATTATAGTTTTCAGTAATCCTTGTCTAAATCCTTGTCTAAATCCTTAAGCTCACCAAAATCCTTGTCTAAAGAACCCAACTTTACGCTTTCAGCCATGACCAGTCGATTCCTCCTCCCCTGCTTCTCCCCTGCCATCTATCAGAGATTTTATTCACAAGATCATGAACTTCAGGGCATACTGCTCATACTTTCCTAGTTCAATTCCATACTGCTCATACTTTTCTTGGTTCAATCTACAGTCAAAAGAAGAAAATTAAACACGTGAAAACGGCTCAGCCTTTGAAATTGGCAATCTCACAATCACCACTTAAGTAAATTGTCATTAAGATCAATGGAGCCATCTCAAAGGGTCGGTTGGTTTACTACATGGTTCAGAGAATCGACAGATTATGACTTTTTTCATATTGTTGATTTAAACCCAGAAAAGGAATCTAAAAGAAAAGAAAGCCAACTAATGGTTGGTCATCTTGCCTAAACTATTGGCAAACATAATTGTTATCTCAATCCGGCCACATCAACTTATGGCTACAGTTTTCACTGGACCAAGCTATAGTCTAACAAAGAAGACAACTTTGTCGTGTAAGGTTATGACTTACTGGGATGCCATAGGTCTCAGTTCTGACTCTGGTTTGCCGATGAAAAGACTGCGGGAAGCAATTTGGGAAGAAGAAAATCAAATGCAAATGGGTAGCTGCCTTGCTGGGCAAATCGACAATTTCAAGGTCTCGATTTGCCTCTGACTCTCCGAGGAGTTTTCTTCGATTTCAAGGTATCGATCTGTACAACTCTCCGGCAGCAAGATGGCGGCTACAGAAACCTAATTGAAGCCTCGAACCCAGATGGATTGCTGAATTGCTGGGAGGCCGAGGCGGAGGGAAGGCAAATCGGGAGATTGACGGCGGCGACGAGGACGTTGGCAGCGAGGACGAGAACTGGTAGAGTTGAGAACTGGTAGAGGCTCTGTTTCGCGAAGCCTCGAGCAGTCGAAGTGTCGAAGTCGAACCCTAAGAGCAGTCACCAGTCGAGAAGTCGACAAGAAAACGTCACCGTTTATTTCAATAACAGTTTCGAGTTGTTTCGATTTTTTATCGGTCTTTGGATTACATCAAAACCAAAACCGCTAATTATTGATTCGGTTTGAAATCGAAAAGCCGAAACCCGACTTCTGTGTATTCGGTTTGGGTTCGGTTTAACCCGAAAACCCGAAACCGATTGGACAGCCCTAGGCTGCATACTAGAGAGCTGAGCGGCTGCTGGAGAAGAG